CCCCCTCCCCCCCGGATATCCCATCATCTTGAACAGAAAAAATGACGAAAGTTTTCTTGCAGGGTGATTAGCTGAAGTACGCTTTGATCACGAAGTACACTTGACCTCTCGTTTCTCCCGAAAACAGCTGATCGTCTCTGGGTGGTACCGTCGCGAGCATCTGACGGCTCAAGCCTTCACCGTTGTCGTGGTACGCTCACATTTCGGCCGAGAACATTCACCTTCTTGGAATGCCCACTCTAACTGATTTCCGTCCACAGTTCGTGCAGATGGTGTCAGTGGTCTGTTCTCTCGATGATTATTCCCTTCCCATCCAAACCTTTCCCTTTGCTGTTCTGTAATCGTAAACGGGAAATCTTAACAAACTACGTTATTATGAGTTCTCTTCATTAATTCTACCATTATGGAATGTCCCTTCACTGCCTCCTCACCGAAAAGTGACGGCTGTTATCACTGGTGGCTCCGCCCACTATTCAGGAAGTTCTGACTTATCAATTTGTCTATGCGCCTAACCACATAAATATAGTACTCAATGGAAGCAAATGAAATTGTAGACCGAATGGAACGTTGCTCCAAAAGAGCAAGGAAGAACAAAAAAAAATTGGCAACCTTGCATTTATTGGGACAACATACGTACGAAACATTTTGCAATTCGAGAAGCTCCTCATTTTCGACAGGTTTGGAAATCATAAGTTGGCAATTTTTGGAGTTGTGAACTACTTGCTGTGAGTATGACCGACTTGATAGCTTCAACAAGCTAATCCATTATAATACTTGTGTCCCGGTGCGAAGCTCAGCAGTCAAACGTCAATCACCGTGGCACTGTATTCACAAATACTTGCTTTGAAAATCCGTGATAGAATAGAAAATATAACAACCAGTTTCAGATAGGCTTATGCGAGCAGCTGTAGTACTCAAAGAGATATGCGGCATGAGCAGAACCAAATAAACTTCTTGCAAATTCTTCATCCGATCACAGTAGCGCTGTTTGCTTTCTTTGAAGGTCAGCTACAAATGGATTTTCCTCACAAACTCGTAATCTTTTCAAAACTGCCTACTTTACCCGTACAACCACAATGGAAAGAGAAAATGGGATACGCTTCGAAGGTTGGACCATCCGATTTTCCTCAAAATATTATCTTGCCACTTGTTTAGATGGCTTTTTAAAGAGATGGCGATCGTACATGTGCCAGGATCAGCCATGCCTTTGTCCTACGCAATAACTTACCACTCGTGTGCATGTAAGTGCAAAAATCACGCGTGATGCATAATATCCCACCCATAGTCATTTTCCGTGAACCTTCGTTTATGCCTCTAATAAACAAATAAATGAATAAACAGTAAGGCCAGCTTTGATAGGTCAACCAACCTTACTACACATTGCTAAAGATCGCAACTACTGCAACGACGATTAAACTGAATACGAAGCCGAATACACGACGCGAACGCTTTATTCGCACTCAATATGTCCTCCATACTGGCTAATCACATTTCCTAGCGTCACCGTTATCAAATATAAACACTATTGTTGGGTACACATAGATCACTGACGTATGAAGTGCTGCTTTTTGCTTGGCCACCTAAATTATGATCTTAAAGGAGGGCATAAACTATATGGTTTCTGTTAAGTTAAGCTTATTCTAATAAATTGTTTTCTATTACTTACTAGTTCAACAACAACCAAACAAATTAAAACATCACACATGATCTTATATCACGACATATGCAGCTACGCATCGCACAACTACGCATATATTAACACAACGCAATTAGAAGTAAGGAATGTATGAATACGGCATTTGGGTGCTAAGGTCAGGCTGAACAAGGTCTACGAATGCTGTAGCCATACTGCCGTAACGAATTAATAAAGAATATTATAAAGAATTAAGTGAGAATGGAATATTTTTAATCTTCAAGGTTTCGGAAAGCGGTCTGCATTGCTTCCAAGAGATCGTCATACTCCTTCTTGATTTTTTCTTCACCATCTTTCACGGGGTCCTGGAATGGTAACGATAGGAAGAGCAGAGCAGATGACAAAATGACTAAAAAAAAACAAATTGAAGTACCTTGAACTTCATTGATGAAAGCTGGTAAAGAAGGTCTCCCATGTGATCTCTAATAATTGCCCATGTTACCTTATTTTCTGATTGCGCCGTGGATTCAACTGCGTGCCGAGCCAAATCATAGAATGCAATCCTTAAACGCTGATATTGAGTATTATTGATTGAGAAAGCAAATGAGCTATAATACTATCACACAATTCATTTTATCCGTCTATTAAATTCACAAACTTACATGTTCTTGAGCATTCCAACGGTTTTGTAGAAGGGACAGAATCGATCATACGGAGTATAACCGTTTTGTTGAAGGAAGTCGTCCTTAAATTTTATGGGTACCGACGCGGCAAAAAAATCTTTCTGAATAGTATTATGAACAAACCTTTATGAGTTTCGCAACTTCGAGAGTAATTTTGTCAGATTCGGCAAGTGATGCCTTACCGACCAATTGCACAATCTCAGAAAGATCTTCTTCTTCCTGTAAAAATAGCAACAAACAACCTTCGTAGCTGGACAATGGACCAAAATGGCAGCTTCAACTTTCATACCTGAAGAATTTCTTTGCATTTCGTTCGAAGAGATACAAACTCGGGATGGTTCTTCTCATAGAAATCTTCCAGGGCGCGCATGTACTTACTAAAACGTTCGGATTAAACTAACAAAAAGTTAAAAATCAAAGCAGTAGCAAAATGTGGTCAACCCTGAAACGGGAGCCACAGCTACTGAATTACTTCCTACGAACTCAAGCGAAAGTAACTACCCTAGTTAGTAAGCAGGCCTCCACCACTTCAAGTACAACATTACTAATCTGGCCTGCTAAATTTAACTCAGTTCAAGAAGAACATTATTTGTTCTCAGAAATATGAACAAAGGCAATTTTAATGAGATATCCAGGTCTCAATTCAAAGTTATTCGTCTCTACTGGAAGTAACGGGAAATCTCAAGCTCTAAAAGTTACAAAGCTCATCTTACGTCTACAGCTCATGCTGCTCCTTTCAGTAAATCACAGGAAAAAAGTGCACCTGTATGAAATCAGCCAGTTGATAGACGGGAAGTGTTTTCTTTGCGCGAGCTTCTTGTCGAGTCCCCAGAACACCTGTACGATACCAAGTGTGGCGGATGTGACGGGATCGGCGAAATCTCCACCAGGAGGCGACACACTTAACCGCATATTTATAGATGATTAAAAATTCGAAAGTAGGAATGTCTACTGTAACCAAGATAACAGTAGCGTTCAATTTACTCTTTGGCAAGACCTTTCGAATACAAATCTTTTATCGCCAATCAGCTACAATGTATAAGTTTTGCCTTTTTTTTGGTGAAGGTGAGGAACAATGAGTAGAATCTAGCAAGTAACCCCCTCATTTCCTCATTTTGATTATCCTTTCACATTTTGGGGAATTTTCATGAGAAAAACTGACATAATCTCATTTTCTGCATACGAAATGAGAGGCAATACCCAGTGCGATATTTCAAACCGCTGATTTATTACAGCTTTGCATATGATTAATAACTTACGCGCCGACAATTGTAACAGATCCTTCGCGAGCTGGGAATCCCAAGCATTTTACTTTGCCGGCACGTTCGTAGAATGAAGCCAGACGAGCGGCAAGATATGCAGGGTAACCGGAATCAGCAGGCATTTCTCCCAAACGTCCTGGAAGAACAACATCAAGGATGCATTCTCGGCAGCGTTACCCCTATTATCAACACAATCGATGTCAACGAATTAAAAACGTTTTCAAGGTTTTAGTGTTTCTACGAAGTATTAACAAGAACAAGCAGCGTAGTCGAATAACCTGGACAAGAATGCGTCTTCTAAATTGTTATTCAGATGGTTTCTAACTATTGATGATCTATACGACTTAGTAGCATGCCAATGACTGGCTCAAAGTTTCACAAATCTTACCAGAAATCTCTCGAAGTGCCTCAGCCCATCGGGAAGTTGAGTCGGCCATCATGGCTACATTCAAACCCATATCACGGAAGTACTCGGCCAGGGTGATGCCTGCAAAAAAACTTAATTCTTGGTTAGGAAAAACTAAACTCTTCACAATCATTGATAATATAGCGTTGATTATTATGGCAACATTAGTACTGCTTATTCCATACCAGTATAAATGGAAGCTTCTCGAGCAGCGACAGGCATGTTCGATGTGTTGGCCACAAGAGCAGTACGTTTCATGATTGAAGTAGTCACTCCATCAACCTCCATAGTTAGCTCAGGGAAATCACGAAGTACCTGAAGAGGCAGTTCAGTACATACAAGACGGGTTTTAGTTCACGTTCTCATTTCTGTTGTGCTGAAAGAGTAGATGAGAGGGGAGAAGGGGCTAAAGACCAAGAGATGATGTATAACAAATTCTTCCATAAATTCTAAAAGTTCCTCCAATTGTATTTATGTCACCTCAGCGGCTTGACCGTTCTGAAGATTCATCTTCCCTTTGCGCTACGCATGGAAACCTCTGGTGTGAGCTAACAATTATAAATCCCAATATGCAGGTTAATTCATGACAATGTCCATCGTCCATGCCCGAACTATTCGGAGGGACCGAAAGTTTTGTTGGAATGATACGATAAGTTTAAGTGGCTACCCCTTTTCGGTTGTTTTTGAATGGTAATCTGATGCGTACCAATGGCTGACGATTAGAAATTCTAACGCCGTGAAAAATGAATCAGATTATTCAAATGAATCAATAAACAAACCTCAGACATTTCATTTCCACGTTCACCACATCCTACATAAATAATTGCATCAGAGTTAGAGTACTTTGAAAGAGATTGAGAAATGACAGTTTTTCCACAACCGAAAGCTCCTGGAAATGATTACCTTTCCAATTATGCATAAACCTTGAAGGGTAAACGGATTAAACTAATACCGCTCTTAGTCGCTAACCTGGGATAGCTGTAGTTCCTCCTTGCACACACGGGAAGAGGGCATCAAGAACTCGTTGACCGCACAGTAGTGGGTTATTAGCCGCAAGCTGAAGCCAGACTATTTTATGCATAAACCCAACAGAGGGAGAGACGGCTTACCTTTTCGGCACATGGACGAGGGTTACGGACGGGCCAAATTTGGAGCATGGTGAATTTTTCTTTCTGTCCAGCGAACTCAACTTCCAACAATATGTCCTGGAAGATGTGATTAGATTTTGCCCCGCTCAATAACAAATAAAAATTACTAATTACCTCAACAGTGTATTGTCCAGATGGTGCTGCAAAAGTCACTGTACCGCACGAGTTTGGTGGAAGCATGACTTTATGCTTGATGAGGAGATTTTCATGAACTGTTCCAAGTTCATCACCACCTGAATGTTATCCAAAATCAAAAATGAAAATAATAGAATTAGGCATCAGAATTTTGTATTCGTGAGGGAACCAGCTGATCGAGCACCCATTGCCGTGGGTCATGACTTTTGCTAACTCCTCCCGTGCCTTCCTGGGACAGTCCATAACTTTTGATCGGATCCTTTGACCCTTAACGGACGGCAGCATGCTACTTTATAAACAAGTACTATGGAGTTGTTCCGATCAAAAGATGTCTACCGCACTTCTTCTTCTGAGTAGTCATCCTATCCAGTATTAAAACTCATTTCCAGCTTCAGGTAACCGTGGTTCACTGTAGGGCACCTAGCTCTATAGAGCTGAATAGACTTACCAGTGACGTGAGCTCCAACGAAGATGTTCTTGCTTACAGTGTAATCCCAACGTGCTTCACGGGAAAGAGCCTTTGTTGATACTCCTTAAAAAACAAAATTGAAATTAACCTTCCAATAAAACAAAGGACTCATGGTTTCAACAGTTTCCATGATTAGTCTTGCCAGGATTACTCGCCATTTCAATTTGGGGGATACATTTTGCTATGAAAGTTCTTTGGCTATTAAACAGCTTCAGATTTGTATAAGCTAAAAATGTAACCTTTTGGAATGTAGATTGACTGTGTCATGTCAGCGATGTCTTTGAGTGGACGTTGAATTCCGTCGAAAATGGAACCCATAATTCCTGGACCAAGCTCTACCGAAAGCGGCTTTCCCGTTCGTAGCACTGGATCACCGATTGTGACGGCCGCTAAATTTCATGCAATGAGGGCCAAATTTAAAATACCTCATATCATGAAGGTTTTAATATTCTGAAGCTGAAGACTCAACTCTTAAGAATAAAAGATGATATATGAAGCCAATACACGGTATATTCATGCTGTTTGTTTGCCATTCTCTACATTCAGAAGAGACCAACAGAGCAAAACCTACATGTTTCCTCGTATACTTGGATGGTTGCGAAGTCGCCTTCAAGACGAATGATTTCTCCCACCAATTCACCATGACCAACTCGAACAAGTTCGTACATAGCAGATCCAGCCATTTTCTCGGCTGTTACTACTAAAAAGAACGACTATTCAGAAATCCAAAACGGTGGTATGAAATCATTTCCGAAATTTTAGAACATACCAGGTCCGGAGACTCCGTACACAAAGCCATAAGTAGCTTCCCTTTCCGCTGCATCACGAGTGCTTGGCGTCATGTTCGAGAGCAGCACCTTGAAATAACTTACGATGATAATAAATTCCACATGGAGTGGTGTACTATTCACTATGCACGACATTACACTAAACCCGACAGCTTAAAAGGGGTGCAGATTGCTAGCGAAACATATATTCATTCTTCAAAAGTACCATCATAAACCGTGGCTGCCATAAACATATTGCAAAACTGCTGGTACGACTTCTCAAACTCTAGAACCGAAGAAGTCCTTCTCATTTCTCATAACCGAGGACCCGAGGTTCTATGTGAGAAACCATTTTGCATGTGAACCTATACGAAGAACAGGTTTGAATAACAATAGTTGCAACTATGCAGTCCTCTGCACTGCCTACCTAAAATATCCTGGAATGTGCAACTACACTGTGCTTACGTTTCATCCACTCAGACTTCTCCAACACATGAGAAAATCGTCGAACAACTAACTAATGAAAACTGATATTCCTTAAGACGGTACATGACCTCAAGAATTGGTCTCAACCAGTTGTCTCATTTCTCCGACTCTGAACAAGAGAAGGACTTGATAGCCAAGCCTAGCAAAGTTGCATGATTTTGGAATGGCTGAAGCGATCATACATACAAGGCGAAGCCTAGTTCTAGGGCTAGGAGAAACCGGCCGCACACTGCCCTGAAACGGTTTCGGCCACTTATGTAAACGGTAGTACGTGCGCATTGACTCAACCAAATACAGGTGTCAGGTGTCAGCATATGCACTAGGTTACAGATTGGTGTAACCAGCAAGAAAGATTGGTGACAGGGACTGTCAGTAAGTTAAAGGGTGAATAGGAATGAGAAAAGTCACATAAGGAATAAGATATGTACGATAGAGAGAACATTAATGTCAGTCAATGAATCACATCGGGAAGATCAAAGCAGAAGGGGCGAAAAGTCGATAACCAACTGCAAATGGATTTGAGTCTTTTACTAGAGATCAGTTTCTGCTCCCGGTCGATCTTGCGGCGTGGTTATTGCGCCACAGCGCACCACTAATACGCAACACATTTCCGTGCACGCTATTTTCTTTCGCGTCTGCGCTCTCCATTTTCTAAGTCCCGACTGCAAACTCACTTTGACTTTGTGAAGCTTGGACAACCAGTTAGATAGGTATTACTTTGCTAGAAAGGTATTACTATTTGGTGAAATTATTTATCCTGGCTTGTATTAACTATTTCCATAGATTTCGAGCTTCTAAATAAAAGAAATTGGAGCTTTCAGCATCCAAAAGCAGGAATCGGGAGATAAAAAGGCAAGAACGCTTTTACAATTTGTTTTGGTGTTCCTTTTGCCATTCAATGCTTTGGTACTGATCTGCTTTTGTCTAAAAATACCAAGCATGTGGCTCGAAAACGCATACTCATTGGTTGAACTATACCTAATAGTTTCCTTTTGGGGCTGTTGTTAGGAGCTTGAAGAGCTAGCTAGAGAAGTGTATGTATCAGATGAAAGGAAACAACGCAAGCTACCATCTAGTCGTTCAATAAACAGATTTGATTTCCTCCGCTTCTTTTGTAGTCCATCGACCTTCTAGTTCCCTATTTCCAACATTTCAACATTGACACAGCTTTATATTTGCATAATTTTAAGGCTGTTTTCTAGAGAGTAAGAAAATTTGAAGCAGTTATTTCACAGAAGGCCTGACACTCCAAGCACTTAAAGTACACGACTTTACTTGAGGTGCCTTAACCGAGAACCTTCAAGACCTTCGTGAGAGGGCATCATTTGGAAGATTTAAGTTTATTTGGCAAACAGTAATTTACTTAATCGTGATTTTGAAGTTCTTGAATACAGCTGAGGAAATTTCTTGGAGAGAGATGGGTTCCGGGGTTTTGCCGAAAGCCGCCTAAACTATTCATTCATTGCACACTTTCGGGTGTTACTTATTAGGTGGCAGAAGAAGGTAGAAAACAGCCATCGAGTACCTCGCATGCTCATCTGGAAAATCCTTTGTACACGGGGTAATGAGTAGGTGGGAACTGATTGAAGCCTCAATTTCCGACAAACGTCTATGCCTAGACGTTAGATAACGGTAGTACTGACACAGGACAACACTTAAAACAAAATATTTAATTCCTTATTGCACATGAAAGGAAAATATGATTTAAAGAAACCATCAATCATTGACCTAAAGGTCGACAAATTTTTCAGGTAGTTGCCATTGGAATACAGTACTGTACAGAATGAATTGTAATACTTACATGAAACAAAGGCAGAAGTGATTTCAATATCAGTCATGCCACTTCTAATATAGTAAAAGAGCTGCTATGTAAAGACTAGTAATAGGAATGAAGTGTTGCACGGTTAGTACCAGTTAGAGTCGTGCTGACGTGCTGAGAGCCACAGTGTCAGTTGGAGCGGCTATCGAACCACCTTTGATGGATAGCATTCCTTTTCAGGATTCGCTGTGACGTACTGTGGACAACAGCTGAGTACTGAAGGAAGTGGACATTCTGGGTGTGATTTACATCCACGGATAGACGATGTTACGTCGTTTAGTCCTCGAGTTGGATCGCGATAGAAGACCTGCAATAACATTTTGGCGATTTTCATGAATTGTCAGAATAATGAAATAAAAAGGAAGAGTAAACTCTGTTAACTAAACAGAAACAAAAACCCAGTTAGGCACGTTATTGGTGGTATTTATAAACTGAGGGACGGCTGCGAAATTCGCTGTGGGACCGCAATACCGTAACCCGCGCCGAGCTCATGTGCTTAGTTGAAGCTGGCCTAAATTTAAAAGTGAAATGAAAGCCACCAGGTTGGGAAATGTACAGAAAAGGGGTTGGGTGTCAGCTGCATGTTATAATAATAGGTAATAATCAGTAAGGCTAGGGCGACAAACAGGTATTCATGTTCTGGGAACTTATGCTATTTTGATGTAGGACTTTCAAAGCAAAAGTCGTGTTGTGGTATAAGCAGTGACAGGCACTCTATGATGACTCCTGGGGTTGCACAATCCACACCCTAGTTGCTTTAGAGGAAGATTCATAATAAATGATAACTCCTAAAAGGAACAAATCTGCCCGCACATGCACAAACGATTTCTCAACTAGGGCGCTTCATCCATTCTCCAACCTGGTGGCTTTCATTTCACTTTTAAATTTAGGCCAGCTGCAACTAAGCACATGAGCGCGGCGCGGGTTACGGTATTGCGGTCCCACAGCGAATTTCGCAGCCGCCCCTCAGTTTATAAATAGCCCCCACGTTATTCTAACAGTAATTCGGGCTATGGCTGCTTTCAACCCTCGACGACCGTCCGTCCGTCCGTCCGACGCGTGCGTGCTGCGACGGCGGTCGCTAGAGTAGTGTTGACAGCGCCGGCACGTGATCTAGTGTAGTCAACAACGGTCAGGCGCCGCGTCGCAGCACACACGCGCCGGATGGACGGTCGTCGAGGTCTGAAAGCAGCCTATGGGTCTTGGCTCGAACGAGTGATGCAATGCCGAACCCCTAGCTACCTAACCATGCTCCTCGTGCCCTTGTCCTAGGTCCCATTTCGATGCGTCGTATATGTGACGGGTGAAGATTTGTGTATCCAAATAGGGTCATGCCAGAAAACAGAAACAGACAGAAAACAGAAAATGTTTTCCTTCGGAAAATCTTCGTTCACTGCATATTATTTCACGGTAAAATTTTGTAAGTCTAACGTGCCGTACTAAACTTAAACTTAAGTTTCTGCGTGACGGTAAGTCCCTTCTCTAGTTGTGAGAATTCGGACTCAAGCGGCAGTGGCGCTCGCTTCCATTGATGTGTGGAGCGCACAATGTGCAAGTCAGATTTTAAAGTCGGCGCTCTATCGATTGACAGGTAGGCGGGTCTAAGGGCACACCCGCACGCTCACGTGAGCTGCCGCTGATTTGAGTATAGCCTCTTTCCCTTCACCCTGCTTGTGTTCGTAGTAGTAAAGACATACCTTGATTATAGGTAGCTGGTTGACCTTTCTCAGCTCTAGAATAATCATTGAGTTGTAAGAGGGTGAGGAGTAGCTACCGATTGCTGCTGCTCGAATTCCAATCGCATCCATGAAAGCTTGCATAAGCCAGTCTTGCTGAAACCCGGGGCTACAATAAGGTGACACGGTATTTCAGGTATTATAATTACTTCACTTTCTTCAAGGGGAATACTGGAAACAATCTATGGTTAAGTAATAGACTTACCGTCGAATAGGCCATGAACTTTTTTCGATCCAGGTGACCTTGTGTAGAATAGGTCTCCCAGCTCGATTTCAGATCCTCAAGTATTGTATGGAGAAGATACCCGCATTTAAGTCGAAGAATTTCAGGATTATGATATTCACCAGATCCGATGATAAAGTTATCTACCTGNAACTTCTGATGAGACAATTGACAGCTTCGAGAAAGAGAACTGAACTGCGTACCCTGACAAAATCATCGTAAATCTCATTTTTATTGTCCATGAACCACTTTGGCATCGGCAGACCATTTTGATACTGAAAAAGTATGGATTAGAGTAAACTGAAGCGTATGAATTAGAACTGTAAGAACTTCATCTGGTAAATAGCTAACGAAATAGAGCGAAATCATTAATTTCCTTTCCTCCCCTCAAATATTTGCCGTTCGTTATTTCATCTAATCACCAGAGATCCATCTTATGGGTCGGTCTATCTTTACGCAAAACATTCCAGTATTTTCATAAAGCTACTGATAGGAAAAGCGTCCTAATTAAGGTAATGGCAATGCCAGTGGAATAGAGGCCTTACTAAGTGATTTTCCTCATAATCATACACATGAAAGGACTTAAGATAGTTTTACTGATCGGTCTCGGAATAGAGCGTTGAGCGTCGAGCGTCAACGGCCAGCGCGCGCGGCATTCATAAGCCGCGATATCGTTGATGCCGCCTCTGACGAATTTGCGTTGAAGCATGTTGTTTTACAAGCAGAGCTGCATAGAGCTCATTCACAACGGGCACTTCACATTACCATAGTAAAAGAAGAGAATAAAAAATAAGGAAATAAGGAAAAATAAATAAGCAAAAGTGAGTAGCACAACCAATAAAGGCACTAAAAAGCAATTATTTACCGCCGACCAGTGCGGTATCGGCGGCCGACCTTGTCAACGGAGCGCCGGCGCTCAACGCTCAACGTTCAGCTATTAGAGATGCCATTCACTAGGGATCTCAAACCAAGTTTAGTGGGAGGTTTCCCGCTATGGGGAAGACGTTGGTGTCAACAAAATGGATAAGATGAACCGCTAGAACCGCATGATTTATTGTTACAATGTGAAAGAGCGAGGGTACTTCCTTCCATGAGATAAACCAAGCTCCAGATTCAAGTACATATTCACACTTATTTCATTGTTTGTAAACAAAATATCGGCGCCACTTGTCTCTACCCACCTGAACCCCAGTAAGGTATGCACAGCTATAGGAATGATTTACTCGATTACCTCGTTAAGCAGGGAATCTGCTATTGAGAAAGAGTGTCCTGTGGGAAATAATGTACTGTTCTTCTCGAGTCCTAGACATTCATAGATGAATCCTTGATATTCAGTAAACTGAAAATAAAAGAGGTAAAACACAACATTTAAGATTAGGCAATTTGAGTCCTCACCCTTTTATAATTGGGTTCCGGGTATCGCCCACAAGTTTCGAAGACTCGTTTCCTTTCCGGCTCACAATTTGATCCGCTGAACAGCATCTAAAGGAGAAGATAACAAAAAAAGTAAAGTATGGTGAATGATCAGCATCAGTTCGATTCGCCCAAATGACAAACCATTCTAACCCCATTACTCAGACTGATGCTCCTCAGAAGGGGAGACGTCCTAACAGTAACCGATGAATCGTTTTTCAGAAGGATCCTATTTGTAGGTGTACCAGAGAGGAAGTCCTGGATGTCAATGCGAAATATGAGTCAACTTGGCTCTTTGACCGATAATTCTTGCCATAAGCCTAATTTTCTGAAAGCGGTAGACTGCCTGGGTAACCACTTATGGAAGCTCCTCCCAGTAAAGCTCCAGGTTCATCATGGTATCCCCAATCTTTTCCCAACTGCTGCACATTGTCCGAAGTTCCTGAAAAGGTCAGCACTGCTCTAATGAAGGTTGGCTTACGTAGTCGTCGTGTTCCTGACTGTATACTGGTACAGCTGGATTGATTGGTCGCTCAGCACTACTGAACATTCCGTTTCCCACCAAAGATGCGGTCATCAAACAACGACTATTAGCTCTACTTCGGAAGTATACCTGAATCGAAGATTATTTCATTCGAATACTATCTTATCGGTTTCTAAACTGTAATCCAAAAGCCTCACAAGGACGGCGATTTGGTCCGTTCCGAGGCCGAAGTTCTGCCTACAAATCGCCATCCTTGTGAGACTTTCGAACCGCGTACTGCGGCGATAAAACAGCAGTTAACAAAACATCAATTCAAAACATATAATACAAAATGCATTGAAGAACGAGCCTGTGATGGTAGGATGGGATCCTTCAAGAAACCGGTATCGATGTATCGACTTCTGAGGAATTTCCCAAGTTCAAAACTGCCTTGAATTCCTATCTGAAAAGGAGTAGCCATCCATAGACCTTCCATGGGAATCGTATAGGTCAAAACTTACATTTGTCAACTCTCCGAGACCATTGGGAAAGTACTCATGAAACGATTCATTTGATAGTCTATCGGTGGGAGCACGCGCTCCATGTCGAAACAGCTGAAAGGATCATATAGAGATGCAACAGACGAGTAGACCATATTTTGGAAGTATTTCTCTTCACCCATAACTTTCGATTGTGGGATCCAATGCAAAATTACTAAATTATTAGGATGTGCAAAGTTTGAAAATGACCCCGAAATGCGGCTTTAATGTAATTTGTTAATCTCGCTCCAAAGAGCGCACTATCACCCGTCCATCCGGGATCGAATCCTGGATCAACACTAGTCTAGGCCAACAAGTAGAGTGTGACAAACTGAAGTCAGTTGGGCATAAAAAATAACCATGAGCAATCAAAAGGGGAAAATAACCAGCCTAAAGATGGCCCGTTTCGTCTCCTCAAGATGAACCACAGTCTTCACCCTCCCCTGAAGCTCATCAGTGGTTTAGAGTTAATGGAAAACGAGTGGGTAAAGATGTATTGTCAGAATCAAGAGCAGGAGTGAATATGAAGCTATACTATTGGTAATGCTTATTTCTGCTTTGTCCCGCATCCCTCCGGGATCGGTTAGTAGGTAGCAGACGCAACTCCACAACGATTCTGAGTGGAAGTCGGATACAGGCCGCATTCCAAAAACGAGATTAATCAATGCCAAAGACTTTGCATCATGGTGTTCTTTTTTCACCCATCATCAATGTGTGATATATCGCTTTAAAATGGTTGTGAGGGGCTCGTGAGGTGGCGAAGTCCGTTCCTCCAAGGGGTGCCACTGGAAACTGCCCACTCTGTGGGCTGAGCTGACCACGGACGTTCGAATGCAGGCGACAGGCCCTGTGACAGGCCGGCCTACGAACACCCCAGTCACATCAAAAATGTTAATGTCACTTAAAGAATCTCGATGTAATGCTACGGCGTCCGCGGGAGCCGACGCGCACTTGCAAGGCCTGGTGAGTGTGAAAAGTATGCGAGGGTCTCCGGTGCAAGGACGGCATCGGGGGGCAACTAGGCTAGTCCAAAAGTCCCGCAACGTATGGAAGACTCGCGTTGCGACGTTAAATGTTGGCACACTAACGGGACGCTCGTATGAGTTAGCAGAAGCTCTAGAGCGTCGAAGAATTGATTTCTGTGCCGTGCAGGAAACGAGGTGGTCCTGCTGCAAGTCGAGGGACATCGGCCACGGCTACAAAGCCGTTCTCTGTGGTGGACCCAAAACCACCAATGGAGTTGGCATAATTGTCTCTGAAAGGTTCCGTGATTCGATAGTGGGCGTGGAGCGCTTCGATGATCGTCTAATGAAGATCATTGTTGTCATCGAATGCCAAAAATACCATTTCTTCTCAGCTCCACAGGCTGGATGCTCCGAACAAACCAAGGACAAGTTCTGGAACCTGCTAGATGAAAAGACAGCTGAAGTACCGTTACAGGAAGCACTAGTTGTCGCGGGTGATCTT